ATCCCCTCAATTAGCAATTGCTTAACATTGCCATTCTTTCTTCAATAACATTCTGGCGATCTGAGACAGTTGTCATTGTTGTTTCTAAACCATCTAATACCTCTGATGGCTCATCCATAATTTGATCATTATACTCTTGTTGGTTATTCCAACGCATATTGTCTAAGCAAATCCGCGAGTTATATCGCTGATCGAAAGTGATAAACGGATAATCATGGCGTCGATAAATGTTCAAAAATTGAGGTGTAAATTCGGGATTGAGTCCGGCTTTTTTCGCTACCAGATGTTTGCACAGCATGTACGGATTGTTTAGATATGCTCCGCATGAACAAATCCACAAATCTGTGTCAGTTTGATGTCTATTTTTATCACTAATGTTCTTCGATTGTGCTATGCCCCATTCTCGTTTGAACGAGTCCACCATGATGGAAATTCACAGTTATTGCAATATCTTTGTCATGTAGCTATTTGATCGGCAACTAACCGTCTAGCAATGATCTCTGTTAATTGATCAAGTCACGGCCGATTATGGTTGTACTTGTAGTCGTGTTTCAATACTCGCCAATGTGCCTCAACTATCATTGTCGTCCGAGCGAGTAAAAGTGCGTGTGTGTATGATGCTCGAGCAAAACGATCCCAATGTTTTCTTTGATACCAATTGCACCACAGGTATCCCCATACATGTGTTAAATTTTTTGATTGACAAAATCGTACATGCTCTCACGATATATTTGATCTGTCGTCCAGAACATATCTTTGCTTACAGGAATTAGTGGATGTGTAAGTGCCCTTTTTATCATCATAAGTAAGTCTTTTCTGTACACTGCTGGACAAAACGTGCTAAAATTATCATTATTGCTGGAAATTGGAATCCATTGAGGATCGATGAAGTCAAACTGTCTATTAGCCGCCTATGCTAAGTTATTCCTGCATTGACTACTTTCTCTCGTTTCTCTTCTAACTTTCTCATTATAGCACGCTCCACATGCCAAAGACAAATCTGTATAATAGCCATTTTATCCCATGCTGTCTCTATTGCATTAATCTGTCCAATGTCTTTGTCAACTAGAACAAATGTTGGAAGAATGTTTTCTTGTCGTAAAGCTAAAAAAAAAGCACGAAGAACTTCCTCCCGATTTTGAATCTGATTATCGTTATTGTTGTCAGAAATATCTTCTGAAGGAACAAAGGTGTCCAAGTATAGGTATGCAAGTGGTACACCATAGCCACCATTGTTAATTACTACGGCAAAAAGCTCGAAACGTTCTTGGTTTGTCTTGAATGTTGAATCAATAATAATTTCGGTAATATTACTTCTCCCAATAAGTTGTAAAAATGGTGTAGTAAATCCAAGAGCTCTTACAAAATTATTTTTAAGGTAATAGACTACCTTATAATTTTCATTTTCTTGTATACTCTGTTCAATAAAATTCTTTGAGGACACGAGCTGATTTTGCTGTCCGTAACAAATTGTTTTCTCGACAGTTTCGCTACCCAATAATATACTTGTTGATAAGTATGTATTTTTGAATCAATTAATTTAAGCAAAGATAGTCTCTTGTAAAATTCAACCTTTCGCAAGCCATAATTAAGATTCCTTTCTATCCAAGCCACAGCTTCTGGCGAAATATTGACGTTTCTATGGGTTGGCTTTGAATGACTACACTGATGACTGATCAATAAGTACTGACACCGCATGGTGCCAGATAAGTCTTTTTAGGTAGTAGAAGCACAGAAAATTAGGGTCACCCCATGTGTGCCTAAATAAAGACACTCAAAACCTCAGTTCTTCAAATCTTTGCTTTTAGGACAAGGTTTTTTTATTCTATTATTAGATATTAAAACACAAATGATAGGTAAGTCGTAAAAACTGTTACTTGTATCGACTTAGTGTTTATAAGTAATACAATTTTATGACATGAACAGTGTGTATTATATTATATTTATAGTCTGTTGCTTAATTTAAAGTGTGTGTATACGTATGTATACGTGTGATACTACCCTAAATTTTTATGTTGTAAGTAGATCAGTATTGTTTTATAGACGTTAATCTGGCTAAATAAATTATATAAGGTGAATAAAACAAAGGCCCTGATATCTCTATAATAATTCATTTTCATTAATAATAAATGAAAATGGGATCGTTTTCTTCCACACGCCAGCATTTTAGCATCTATGATATCCTTGTTGATTGTGTCACAGGCAACGCGTGAATAAATTATGTTTCTGCAAAATTAAACCAGATTGACTTTTAGTGGGTGAGGACAAAATAATATAAGCAGCAATCACGATATTGTGTGGACTATGCTCACCTCTCTGCTCGATTGCCGTCATGTACCGCTCCATTATCTGTGCCAACAAGACAAAGTAGCCCACGACCGCTTTGCTTTCGGACATCCACTTGTCCTTGGCCTCTTCAGTGAACTTCTTGGAAAATGGCTTGCTTTTTTTCAGCAAGCTCATTGCGTAGTTTCTTTTATAAATGTGAAACATACGCAGGGGCTTCCGTTTGGCCGTGTTGGACGGTTCGACCAATTCTTCGACCGGCAAAGACAATGGCAACGGCGGGTTTTCAAGCTGATTGCGCTCGGCTTTGGTAATCTCAATAAAATTAAAGAACGTCATTACCGCGACTCGTATGTTGGATATTAATACAAAAAAGTGAAAAGGTTTATACAAAAACTGAATCTTGTTGATAATGTATGTGTTTCTGTGTCTTGACTCTCCGACGAGAAAAGTGAAAAGGTTTATATAAGTTTAAATCTTGGCGCAGTGTATATGCTTTCTGTGTTATAAAAGAGTTAGTAAAGGTCCGCCTTTGTTTCCATTTAATTATACAATATATTACACGTAATATGTTATATGAAGATGCAACATACGAGTAGTCATATTAGATCGTTTAAGGATTACGCAGCATATATCTTTTCCATTATAAATTTAACAAACCATCTATAAATACAATAATAGGATATAAAAATACCATCGAGCGTTTATGTTCCGTATTCCATTGAATGTTATAGATATGCCATTGCGTGTAATGAACTTTCCATTTAATTTAATGGGAGGATGTGCTATAGCGTAAGAAATATTTATTTTTGATAACCGTGAGGTACTTCGTGTGACTTGGTAACCATATCAGCTATGATCTGCAGATAATTCACAATACCCCACTCTATAGTTTGTTTATTGCGAGCATTTTTATAGACATAATGGCATTAGCCCTAATTAAAATAGCAGTCTCTTTCGGAGTAAAATTTTTTCTCGGTGTTCATGCAACGTATTGTAAATATGTTGGTCGAATGGAATCTATCGGAAATTCAGAACATATAGTCCGAGTGAAATCTATTTTAATTAAAAAGATTATCTTGAATACTTAGCCACACTTTTGCATACGTCTACATGGATTGCGTATGTGAGGCATTGAAGAATAAATATATCAACTATGACGCTATAATTTCTTAATAAATTACGTTGTATTCCTAACGACAAACAATAGCATTGAGCTCTGCATCTTTGTTTATCTCTGATAACATTGAAGCTACTCATCAATCTACCGTTCTTGCTAGTAATAATATGCCAAAAATATGCAAACAATTATATCGTTCTGTTGAAAAGACTGGTTTAAATTGTTCTATTGTATTGTGAAAATGGTTATATATCTTGGCGCAGTGTATATGCTTTCTGTGTTATAAAAGAGTTGGTAAGGTCCGCCTTTGTTTTTATTTAATTATATAATATATTATATGCAATATATTATATAAAGATGTAACATACGAGTAGTCATATTAGATCGTTACGGAGTACACAGCATATATCTTTTCCATTATTATTATAATTTAACAACCATATATTAATACAATAATAAGATATAAAGATACCATTGGGCGTTTATGTTCCGTATTCCATTGAATGTTATAGACATGCCATTGCATCGTGAACTTTCCATTTAATTTAATGGGAGGATTTATTTTTGATAACCGTGAGTACTTCGTGTGACTTTTATACACAATGGGTAACCATATCAGTTATGATCTGCAGATAATTAACAATACCCTGAAATCTAAGTTTGTTTGTTGCTAGCATCTTTATAGACATAATGGCATTAGCCCTAATTAAAATAGCATAGTCTCTTTCGGAGTAAAAGATCATTTTTTCCTCGGTTCATAATACATAGAGTCCATGAAACTAGTAAAGATACCATTGGGCGTTTATGTTCCGTATAATGCAACGTATTGTAAAATCTGTTGGTCGAATAGAATTTATCGGAAATTCAGAACATATAGTCCGAGTGAAATCTATTTTAATTATTGTATAACGCCATTAATAGTAAAAATATTATCTTGAATACTTAGCCGCACTTTTGCATGGATTGCGTGTGTGAAGCACACACAGAAATAGATCGACTATGACGCTACAATTTCTTAATAAATACAACCCTTAACATGAACTCTGCATCTTTGTTTATCTCTGATAACATTAATTACTCATCAATCTACCGTTCTCGTTAGTAATAATATGCCAAAAAATGCAAACAATTAAATCGGTTTTTTTGATCCGTTGAAAAGACTGGTTCAAATTGTTCGATTGTATGGTAAGTTACTGTCCCCAATCACACTACTGATCCGAACCACAGTTTGTCTTGTAAATATACAGCAAACGAGGGAGCGACGCCCAATATCCACTTAGTCCATAAGCTTCTACCTTTAATAACAACACTCTGAACTGCAACATGGTGAAGATCAAGGCACGACTTCTTGACGGTATGTATCGGAAGGTCTATCCAACAGAACTGCAGGGTTATGTAAGTAAAGTACAGACAATATTGTAAATAGATTGAGTTTTTATTGAAAGTTCTTATCGTTTTACTATCTACACCCCCCTTCCCCTCAATTCTCCATTTGGTCTCTTCAGATAAGTGAAGATGAATTTCTTGCAATGGTGGATGCCATAAACGAACCGCTAAAAACAATCGCCATCGATTCTACTTGGCCGACTTTATTATGTCTAGAGGACTTCTCGTTACCATTCTTGTTAGCGGTTATAAAGAGACTGTAATGCATATTGCAACGGCCTTGTTTTTCATGACACAGTTTATGTTTAGCTATTGCGCAGTAATTTTGAACATACAAGTAAGTAGAATATGTAGGGCATATAACGGAAAGTAGGAAAGCGTATGGAAATCTTGAAAAAATTTCTTAATTTTGCAATTGTTGTACTGTAGATTGAGGATGAAAGAGAACGTGTTGTGAATGAATTTAACGTTACCGATCAACGACGAGGTGTTAAATGGAATTATTATAGAAGGCCGTCTTGGTTATTCAATTTTAAACAGGTACAATCGATTGCGTAGTAACCCAATCCACCGAGTATTTCGTTCTTATAAACTTGCGTCTTTTACTAACATTTACATCAAATATCTTTAGTCGTACATTCTCGCCAAACTCGACGATTCCTTGCGTAACCGATCTTTTTAATACGAGCTTATGCATTTGAAGTAATACGGATCTAACATTCCAGTAGACAACAAATTTATCATTAACAATGTATACTTATTCCGATAATAAAGATACTCTCATTGTTTACACTAAGCATTGTCGGTGAAATATTAGAACTGGTGTTGTTTCCAAGAATGACTATCTGTTTTTCATAAGAAAGTTTCTTTTTGACAAATTGATCGGTTGCTCTTTCCTTTTATTTCCCTGATAATTTATGGAATGTTATTCTCTCTTACATAAACCCAACCCAATAAACTCTGGATTCTGCGAAAAGTCAGTGATTAATTGGTCGACGAGTCATTCACAGCTGTGTAACAGTCCCGCTACCTCATCATACACTATTTACCCAAAATTAGGGTCAGGCGCATTCGATAGCGTATTATATGGAGAAGAAAAATCAACTCACTGTTCAGTAGCTATAAAAATTGTTGAAACATCCATGACAAAGACCGTTTCGTACATGAGATAAAACCAGCTCTTCTCCAAAAAATTCCATTGCATCGAATATCATTTGCATTCATCGACTGGGCTAGAGGCCTATCCAAAACATTGAATTTTCGTGTTTGAATGTATCAGACTCAAGTAAAATGATGACATATTCCTCCGTGATTTCCGCTCAGGTCTCCGGTCTGCAATTTCAAGTTGTACGACGAACATTCAGTACCAGTTACACACGAGCGATAACAGCATTGGGACGGATTTATTAGCACTTTTAAATCCTCCCGATTTATCAAATAGGTTAGAATACTTAATTACGCAGCGAAATTTGTTAGCAGTTTAGTAAAATAATAATTAGACATATAAGTGAGTCCGTAGTGAACATTATCTTTAGGATTATTGTTGCTTATATTCGAAGTTACAATCTAGATAGCGTATACAAGACCGATCTAGCATCGTGGGTATTTCGAAACCAATCGTAAGGTCAACTAATTATCAGTAGGTTTAGTATGAAGTAGAGGTAGTCAAAGACCTCGTTTGAAAAGCTGAATCTCAAGGTCAGTGTACGAACACTCTCCTGCGTATATTGGCTTGACAAAAGTAAACAACAACGGTTTTTAAAATTACAGAAATAAGTGGAATGAAATGATCAGGACAGAGTCTGATCTTAATTTCATTGAATATCTGTGAAATGAGCTCGAATAGCAAATTAAAAAATGGGACTTATGATTACTGTGCTTTTGTCAAGAAAAGTGGGAATGCAATATTTCAAAACTATTCTGAAATGCAGAGCGGTTTTAAAGCTAAAGAGTATGCATTTTAAACTAGATTTTACAAGGTAGTTATGTTTAAATATTGTTCCTGATGTATGCTTTATTATTATTAATATTTTGCTGTAATTTATACATAATATTAATATATAAATTTTATTTGTTAACATGAAGTAACTCAATTCTGCCTTATATTTGTTATTTAATAAGACTTAAGTACTCTTGATTTTGTGTGCCCTTTATTAAGCACAGCTAAGGTGGACCTCTAGAGCTGCTACTTAAGTACTCTTGATTTGGTGGGTCCTTTATTGGGCACAACTATGGTGGACTGCTAGAGCTGTTGTACTTAAGTACTCTTGAATGAACATGATAATAAAATAATTTTTCCATTTTCTAATGGATAATAGAAAGTAATCTCAACTATTGCCTATAATGTGCAATAAAATTTACACTAGGACAAGTACAAGATAATATTAATGGTGTTTGAAAATTAGAGTGAATTTTGACTAGGTTTTATCATGTAATTATCTGTTATGATATAATAATATCAATATTATTAAAACACATACTTATACTGTTCTTGTTCAATTGCTTCTTGAAATAATTCAACTGCCTTTTTAGCATCTTTTTCTACTCCAACTCCATTTTTATAGCAAAGGCCAAGATTATTTTGTGCATTAGCATATCCTTGTTCAGCTGCTTGTTGATATAATTCAACTGCTTTTTTAGCATCTTTCTCCACTCCAATTCCCAATTGGTAGCAAGTACCAAGATTGTTCTGTGCAATAGCATGTCTTTGTTCAGCTGATTTTTGATAGAATTCAACTGCCTTCTTAACATCTTTCTCTACTCCAATTCCATTTTGATAGCAATAACCAAGATTAAACTGTGCAGAAACACAATCTTGTTCAGCTGCTTGTTGATATAATTCAATTGCCTTCTTAATATCCTTTTCTACTCCAACTCCATTTTGATAGCAAAGGCCAAGATTATTTTGTGCATTAGCATATTTTTGTTTAGCAGCTTCCTGATATAATTCAGCTGCTTTTTTAGCATCTTTCTCTATTCCAATTCCATATTCATAGCAAACACCAAGGTTAGACTGTGCAACATCATGTCCTTGTTCAGCTGCTTTTTGATATAATTCAACTGCCTTCTTAGCATTTTTGTTCACTCCAACTCCATTTTGATAGCAATAGCCAAGATTAAACAGTGCAGAAACACAATCTTGTTCAACTACAATATTAATATTATTTTGTGCATCAGTATATCCTTGTTCAGCTGCCTTACTAGCATCATTTTCTACACTAATCCCATTTTCATAGCAAATACCAAGACTAGTCTTTGCATCTGCATATCCTTGATCACATGCATTTTGATACATTTCAGCTGCCTTCTTAACATCTTTTCCTACTCCAAACCCATCTTTATAACAACCACCAAGTTATACTGTGCAATAGCATGTCCTTGTTCAGCTGCTTTTTGATACAGTTCAAATGCCTTTTTAGCATTTTTTTCTACACCAATTCCATTTTGATAGCAAATACCAAGGTTATTCTGTGCATCAGCATGTCCTTGTTCAGCTGATTTTTGATATAGTTCAAATGCCTTTTTAGCATCTTTTTCTACTCCAATTCCATATTCATAGCAATGGCCAAGATTATTCTGTGCAGTGGCATTATATTTTCTGCTGACAGATGATACCAATAGATTGCTTGGTTAAGATTCTTTTCAACTGATATTTCAGATGCATAGAAAAATCCAATTAACCAAAAGCATTGCCCACAATCAGCATGATCTATAAGTCTTTTGATAGGGGGATAATGCTGTTGATACCACCCATTATGTTCTAACCAACTTTTAATTGAGTCAGCAATCTGTTCTTGATTTTTGCCTTTTAATAATTCTTCTAGGTATTTACTAGACAAGCCATCACAAAATGGATGTTTTAAAGCCATAGCAATTTGAGCCATGATGCTTAATCTATCACAAATCTGCTCACAAGATGGTCTTTTCTCAGGCATATCATCCCAACATGCTGAATATAGTGTGATATATTCTTCAGGAGTTCCTGAAATCGGATCATCTCGACCACCATTTAATCTATAGTTTACAATATCGTTATAATACTGGAGTCCATCACATGGTCTCTTCCCACCAGAGATTTCCCATAATATCACCCCAAAACTAAATATGTCCGACTTTTTATCCCGCTTATTGGAACTGCTGCATAAGCATCTGATGTCAACATATGGAAGAGTCCCTTGAACGTTTGAATAACTTTTTTGTTGCAAAATCAGATCTGACAAGCCAAAGTCGGTTATCTTCGCCACACCGGCATGAATCAATATATTGTGAGATGACTAATAAGACAAAGTGTAAATTGCTGTTGAATCTTCTAAACATATGATCTCATGAAACTATTGTACTATAACATCGATCTTACCAGATCTTTATGTAAAATGTCAAGTGAATGGAGATACCGCAGTCCATCATTAATATTGATAACGAGCTCGTATCTAGCAGGCCAGTCCAATTCAATAAATGTGTTCGATAAATAACGAGCAATGAACCGCCATCAGCATACTCGAAGACCATAGCATAGTTCTTTAGCGGATCTTTCAATTAAATAAAAAGAAGACTAGTTAATATCATATTCTGCCGTAACCGAATCTGCTCAATGCTTACCCTCGCTCACTCCGAGGAATCGAATGATGTTCAAGTGGTCATCGACCTTGCGGTGAATCTTAAGCTAAAGTAAAGTTGTTAAGTCTACAATGATATCCAAATATAAAAATCGTCATCATAAATACCAACCTCTTTGACAAAGTTTTCGAACATCTCATCTTCATTTTGTGAATGAAGAAGCTTGTATGCGACTGTTCTACCGAGTGTCTTCGCTTCTGCTTTGAAAACTACTCCATATCCTCCACTGCCGATGTACATCGGTTCAATAAAGTCCATGAAAGAATAAAACCGAATGCTTTCGTCTTCAATACTTTTTCTTAACCATTCTTTATCGGTGACAATTGAGGCCATGTTTTTTGCTGTAGTGGTAAAAAGTCTTTACTATTACAGTCTCGCAGAGGACTAATGACATGTGATGTGAGGCTAATACATATTAATATACGGATTTTCACGGAGCAACACCGCAGTTTTCATTTTTATCCACTCCCGCTACCAAATTTAAGCTTGAGAACTATGTTTTCTTAACCACAAGACGTTCACTTATTGATCATAATTAACTTGGCCAACTTTTTGCTTTGTGTTTCAAAAAAAAAAAAGCTTGCATCGTACACTACTTTCCGCTGCCGAAATAGATTAAAAATACACAATTCAATTACTTCCTTAATTACAATAAAATTTAACCGACCATTCGTTCTTATCTTTGAAAATAATTGCTTGCGTTGTGATTATACTCTTATCAAGCGATAAATATAAATTATCTAGTCAATAAAACTCGTACATTTATTACAACTAAATTGTGGCAATGATAAAAAATACGTTACTGAAACTACTCTGGTCTTTGCATAGTTACTGGAATCTATGCAGTTGCAGTAAAAAATTCCGAGAAGACATACAGTTCCCACGCTTTCTGGTAAGCATTGACAGATGTAGAAATAATGACGTACGCACTATTCACGTACAGATCGTACGTACGTTTTAGGTATACTTTTCATAACCGATCAACGTATGATAACAGCAACTCAAAGGGATTATTTTTTTGTTATCAAAAGTGACGCACCTTTAACTGCCACGGTGTTTTTTTGTTCGCCGTAACAGTGGTTTGCAATTTTTGTTAATCCCGCTGATTGAGAATGCGTGGCCGACCTGATCGTTTTTCCGGAAAATTTCCTGATTCGTAGGCTGCAAAAAACCGTTAAACTGTTGTCATGTAATTTTGCAACTGCTGCATGCATTATTGTAACCTAGTTTTTGTTGCAATTACACGTATACCACCTTTTTGAGAATAGTAAGCTCTTTGTCAAAACCCATTTATGCGCCAAGGTAAAAAATAGGGGGTTTTTGTTACATTTTTGGTGGCTAACACAAAATGATTTATTAAATTAAAATAACGGCAAATAATACAGTAGATGGTACAAAAGTTAGTTTTTTATTACATATAAAATTTTTTTCAATATCTTAAATATAAAAGTGTGCAATACTTTTTCCCCCGTGTATACCTTTGTAAGCCAAAGATGTGAACTAACTATGCTGACGGTCACACGAATCAGTAGTTATCATAATTTATTTGAGTAGTTGGACCCAAGGGAAAATATATTACGGGCTGGGTATCTGAAAAGCTAGATTAATACAATGACAAGAAGAAGATAACATGGGTGCATGATCAACGTATCCACTAATCAAGTGACTTTTAAAAAAATATAGGGTAGGTAATATACAGTAAGAAGCATAAACTTTTTTTATTTAACGATGGCAAATTGTTTACATGTTGTAGTAATACTGTACTTTCCGTAGTAAGATCAATGCAGGATTTCTGTCGATAATAACAACCCAAGGTATTTCTTGTTGTAATTTTAATGTAGGGTACATGTCGTATTTGTCTAATGTAAACGGTTCCTTAAGCCTTCCAACAACGACAATTACGACACAATGCCTGCAATACCGTTGCCTTTACTAAAAACGATAGCAACGACTTCACTATTTATCCAGTCTCTTAACAATATGCCGAAAGAATATAGTTCGATAGATGTAATACTGTTTGACATTCCTGGTATTATAATTACAATAATTAAAATTGCTTGTTGTTGCATTCGGTTTAACAACGTAGTGAAGAACTAGAAATTACAGGCAATATTGGTACAGTAGGAAATTACTGAGCTTATGAAGCGTTACTTTAGTTGCGTCAGATATATTACATAAATTGTAAACATATTAATCTGGAATTATACTAAATGTTTGATTTTTTTCTTTAATTTTTCAGTTCTATGGTCAAGTTCTTGCGGACAACATTTTAAAATAAAGTTGCACTCACAATTTCTTATAAATTTTTGAGTCTGCAACTCAATTACTAGACATTGCAATGCATCATATCAACTATATGGGATGCCACATCATACGTTAAGCTTTTATTTCAGCGTAATACGCTTACCCATTTTTTTTATTAAAGCTTATGCTGTGTGTATTGACTGATGAGAACATAATATGAACTATTATTCGTTCTTCTGTAATAAATTGCTTCAATTCAGTAAAATATGCCTTTCCAGTTTCTTTGAAAATGTTCCATAAATTCTCTATTGAGTTTAGTCAAAACTGTTTGATAAACCAATCCGTGACCTGTGGCAGATATTCCCCCGGCAAGATAAATTGTATGCTTTGTGCCATTGTCTTGCTGAAGCGCCATTTCACTACCCAACATATCATTGATCTCAGAAATATGTTTGTCAAGTAGTTCTACATAGAGAAGACTAACGTACGTTTTTAATCAGTACTTTTTTTGGTAACACACGTATATGGAATTCGGGTGAACTTGCATATTATTCATTCTTGCACAATGTTCCATGCATCACTAGTGAAGTTCTCGCTCGGATCGACATAGATAATCTTACAATGTTGAAAAGCAGCAATATTCAACTCTATGCTGCAATTGATTTTCTTTAAACAACCTCATTCATAATCACCGATTCACTATTTCTTCGCTGACTATAAATATGCGAAGGCGTTCGTATTATATTTTCAGATCAACAATTCAAAAAATTTGCATATTGTCAACCTGAGAGTGTAAATACTTGCTAACGAGTTTCTCTTTACGATCAAAATCTCATAAATACAACGTTACCATTCAATTAAATATTCTATAATATCCCGTTACAAAAAATTACCGAGAGCCTTTATCACCCAAAATCTTACCGAAATTTTATTTACTAAAGCGAGGAGTCAGATATCAGTTACTATAACATGCGTGGTATTAAGTAACAGTATCTGTTTTTTATCATCATAAGATGTACCGTATATTCGTGAATAAGCACAAGCACCCCCATGATTACCACGATTACCCGCACAACGTACCCCTCATTAACAGTTTATTACATAATGCACGTGATTATAAAATCTTTTATTTCAATTCTATCATAATACAATCTGGTTACTGCGATTACTATAAACTAATCCCCTAAGTTTATTATTTACGTGACGGTTTGCCGATGATTTTTATATGATTGAGGGTGTGCAGTAGAATAATATCTGTCCACACTAATGCAATTGTGATTTGGGTTAAAAACATTAATACCCATACCTTTACTTTTATAACAACCCTAATTCCTCATGGCATACAGATTGATCTGTTGATGTTTGAATGCTATATCTTTTGTTCTCATTATGCTATCATCGGTAAGCAGATTACCATACGTATAATATACAATCGTTGATGTAACAAAAGTTTTAAGTCAGAACAGGTTAAATAAATGTAACCTATTGACAGAAAAGTAGATACAAAGAAAAATATTGCTGTATAAGTGAATAATCTGCTCAAACTGTGAAATGGTGCGCACGTTCCTAAGTTGTAAATCGCATTGTTTCCTTGCAGGCATTTTTGCTATTTATTGTAATGCTTGATATGGAAATTGCATTTTCCTTCCTTTGTTACTATTTCGATTTCCGAGCGGGCAATACAATTTCCATATGGAAACCGCACCCCTATATAAATTCTAAGGACACTCTTTAAGCGACTAATCCTCAAGCAACGCTCAGTTTCTTATACAGATGTAGGTTGGAAGAGTCTTACAATATTGAAATCTTCCTAATACTTGACTCTTTCTCTCTTCACATAGATTATCTAATAGAACTTCAGCCTTACCCCACGATAAATTAATCCGTTTCATTCACAGCTAGATCGTAACAATGCTAAAAAGTTATGTTGCTAAAGTTATTCTTGGTCTTTACATAATTATTGGAAGCTATGCGGTTGCAGGAAATAGCTCTGCGGAGTACACTTCCTGGTAAGCATTGACGGATTGTAGAAATAATAACGTACACACTATTCACGTACAGATCATTCATACTTCCCATAGCCGATCAACACATACGAGAGCGAGTTCTCTATCAATGACAACAACTCAAAGGTATTATTTCTTTGCTATTATATAAGTGACGCACTTCAATTGCCATATAATCATTTCTCTGTCATTCATTATCTAATGCAAGTAGTTTCTTAAGTTATTCAGCCACGACAACTGTTACAACTCCGCTACCTATTCCGACCGTTAACGATATGCCCGAAGAACACAGCTTAATATACAAGATACTGCTTGGCATTGCTGGTATTGTTATTACGATAGCAATGTATCTTGGTGGAAAAAATATTATTTTTAATTTGTTTGCTGTAGTCAGTATAACGACGTGGGGCAAAGACCAGAGACAAGCAATGATAGTAATATCATGGACATTATTGAGCTTTATGAAGCGTAAACTTTATTTGAATTATAAAAAGAGTGAGAATGAAGTAAATTTAGTCGGTTTAAATCCTCACCTCCTGTTGGGTATATTATGCTAGTCTGCGCTAAGTTCTTTTTTGAAGTTCAACTGACATGTTGGTTAAACGATGCGTTGTTCAGATATTATTTATTTATCTATTTTTTTACGGTATTTAGTCTTGAATGGATGGGGAAACATGGAAATGACATTGACTATTACATTTGATTTGCGGTATTGCTTAAATATGTTCCGGAGAGAACAATAAATGTCTTTATTACACACGGTATAATAGCAATAACATGTGGTGTTTACCAAACTGTTAAAGCCATAACCCTGTACCGCCTTGTAATGGAGTGCTGTTGCTTTACGGCATTCCTCTTGCACTTTGCCATGTCTGACAACATTATTATAAGCCGATTTTTTAATACTAATCCTCCCATTCTCAAACACACCTAAACCACCAATGCTTAATAACCCTACTCACAGACTGTGGTCGGTGGTTAGGCTATACCTTCAACATCCAATTCGCATTCGTTCGAAGGTCGATTATGCTTGCTAAACACGCCTTTGACTTTACTTGCTCTTCACAGTTGCTTCAAAAAGCTGGTAAAAGACACATCCAAGTGTACATATTTGTGCTGTTGATAGTTTGTACGGAATGTAGTAATGGTCATACATCTCCGGAGGAAAAACTGGATAGAACAAATTGCTTGGTTATACATTATTTCAATGTTAGAAAACTCGGGTCTCTTGCTACAATTCGACTCACTTGAATATCAAGGCCTCTCTCTTCTTTGACTGCTAAACCAAAATCGGTTAATTTTATATTACTGACATCGACGACTACATTGTCTAGTCTTAAATCACAGTGATAAATACGCATTTCTCCAAATGGGAACATGCCGACAGTAACTGACGCATAATTTTCTTCGCTTCATTTTCCGTTAATCCACACTTCCCGCAACAATATCTTAAAGTAGATTTTGGTTTATCTTGGCCGTATCCGTGATATTCAAACACGAAAACCCAATGCTTTGATATTCGGATGCGATGATGGAATTATTGGAGAAGAGCTGCTTCTTTTGCTCATTGTACGAACGGTCTTTGCCCTGGATGCTTCAATAATTTTATAGCTACTGGACAACGAGTTGATTTTTCTTCCCCATAGAATACGCTACCAAATGTGCTTGACGCTAATTTTGAGTAGATAGTGTATGCTGCTGGATATCTGGGGGAGGTAGTGTGATCGTTACACACACGTGAATGACTCACACACATCGAGATTACACTACTTATTACCGCATATGAAGGCAAATTCCATTAGTAAATAAATCTTTATCCGTAACTGTATTATGATTATTATGAGTCTTTTATTGTAATTAGAAAGACATGTCATATTATACTGCATATCTTGTGAGCGAAATATCGAGTCTAGTTTTTGTAAGGGTTCCAATACTTGAGCAAGTACATAAGTCGGGAAAGCTGTATAATTGTTCTAACTCTTCGGTGAATCCAACCCATGCCATGTTGCAGAATATTCTGACCAATCGTAGAGAAAGTTTGCTATGCTTGTACTTTGTCTGTGTACCACAGTACCTTTTATATTGTATATTTCGCCATCTTTTTTATTTTACGGCATTTAGCATATTATTTATTGTCTTGTACCACTATCTTTTTTTTCATGTACCGTTTACGTTCATGTTCTTTATGTTACCGTACTAGTACATGACATGTTCCTTGTACCACGTACCGTACTGTCCTTTAAATATATAAACATAGCTGGAAATAAGGCCCTATATACTAACTATTGAAGAATAGCGGTATTTCTTCTCCTCCCTTCTGATAAAGACCCATAATTTAGATCGTATCAAAGATGACGAGAAGATACGTCATTAAATTTATTCTCTGCCTTTGCATCGTTATTGGAAGCTACGCTGTTGCAGTAAATAATTCTGAGGAAGCATACCGTTCCCGCACTTGCTGGTAAGCGTTTGATAAGAGCAAAGATATTAACTATGTGCCATTTACGTATAAATTGTTTATCTTTTTAGTTATACTTTTCATGGTCGTTCGACACATACAAGAACGAGTTCTCTGTCAACATTAACCCGAAGGTATTTTATCTGCGATAGGCTTTATTAATATGCACGTTATAAACTTACTTCTCTGCTATATTCTGTCTAGTGCAAGCAGTTCTCCAAGTTATTCAACCACGGCTACTATTGCAACAACTCCTCTACCTATTCCGCCCATTAACGATATGAGTGAAGAATACGATTTGATATACAAGATACTGCTTGGCATTGTTGGTATTATTATCACGGTAACAATGTATTTTGGTGGAAATAATATTATTTTTAAATTGGTTTGCTGTAGTCAATACAACGACATGATGCAAAAACCAACTACAAACAGTGACAGTAATGTCATGGATATTGAGCTTAATGAGCAGTAGGTTAAATACAGTATTAACTTTATTTACGCATACATCAAATGTATGTGACTTTGTTTGTCAGTGTGGATACCTCACCAATTCCCAATCTTGTTCTATATCCAATTACTATTTAAATATGTCTTTTTTATAACAGTAATAAAAATGTTAATATCAGAAAACTTGTTATTTGCTTCCTTCTGTTGTGTCATTAGCTTCTTGATGAGTGTGAACATTTGGCTTATAACAGCCAGGAGACGGAGATGGGATAAAGAAACTTTTTTGTTTTGCAAATAATTCGGACTGTGGGTCGAGTCGTGGATGTACAGAGGCAAAAAGCTTGCAAAGCGCTTTTGATGATTTAGCACAAGAACTAAAGCTATGAGTTAGTGCATCAGGAGGATTTATTTCATACGCATAATTATTACCCATCTTCATTTGCATTTGTCCTCTCCTTTTCACTATCCTTTCGACTACTTTTATTCGCCCTGTCATGCCAATTAAGAACACCACCAAATCTTTACTTTAAACCCCATTTGCCTGTCTTCGGGGACTGTAGATATAATCTGAATATTTCCCTTAAGTATTTCAGCAGCCATTTCAGTCGTACGATAATACTCCTTGCGCTTATCGTCTGGTAACAATCGCCACGCTTCAGATGCACTTTTTGAAATAGCTTGTTGGGTCTTGAGTGAATCTGATTTACTGTGAAATCTTTTCGGAAAAGAAAAAATGCATTCAAAGGGCGTGGCGGCGTAACACATCACGACGACGAAGCATACGTGCTTGCCTGCGGCGCGCAGGAGAGGAGGGCATGAAGTAGTAAAACATCGTTATTAAAGAGTATAAAGTAATTTCTGATATCGGGATGGCACAAGCCTCTTTAAGAGACCTTGTGTTGATTAAGATAATTCCGTAAACCATATTTTGTCATTCGTTACATAAAGGGGTTGGATGACACGTTATTTAGCCTAATTCGTTACACCAAGTGCGCCCAAACTCAAATGAATTTACGGGAACTATCAAAGGGACTGATAATCACTACCAATAACTGGTTATAAACATAAATAATGTTTATGGGATCGGTTTCCTATTTTACTGGATTTTGTTAACATTATTCATTTTACTATATAAACAGAATCCATCAGATTTTATGAATTGAGTTGAGAATTGTCTTGCAGGAAAAGTAATTTCTTTGTTCTGCAAACCATCCGCAAACAAATGTTCAAATTGATTATTAGAACAATAAGACTTAAATTGACAAATTTCCTTTCTATAAAATGGTGAGAGAAACTCTGGATTTCTTTTTTTATCGATTGGAAAGAACGTCTTTTGCGTGACATTTGGTAGGTATAGGGAAGCAAGACACATAGAAGTAAGCTAATTCTTGTATATTTACACTCTTGCACAACGTTCCACTGCGCCACGAATGAAATCCTTGCTCAGTCAGATATCATATAAAGGTAAATTGGAAATAATTTTGTTCTCCCTAATACTTAGACCTTTTCTCTCTCTTCTGATAGATTATCAAATTTGTAGCAATAATGAAGAAACACGTTGCTAAATTTATTCTCAGCCTATGCATCGTTATGCTGTTGCATTAACTAATTCTGAGGAATTGTACCATTCTCGCACTTTCTGGTAAGCGTTTGAGTTGCAGAATGTAAAGCATGTGCTATTTATGTACAAATTATTGTTTATATGTTTTAGGTATACTTTCCATGGACGATCGACGTATACGAGAACGAGTTCTCTGTTAACAGCAACGACTCAAAGGCAATTATTTCTTGGCTATAACCGCAACGCAATTTTATTGCCATTTAATTATTTATTCTATTGTCAGCAGTTATTCAACCACGGCTAGTATTCCGCCTACTAACGATGCAAATGAATATTACAATTTGATATGCAAGATATTGCTTGGCATTGCTGGTATTATTATCACGGTAACAATGTATCTTGGTGGAAAGAATATTATGTTTAAATTTGTTTGCTGTAGTCAATACAACGACATGATGCAAAAAACAGCAACTACAAGCAGTGACAGTAATGTCATAGATATTGAGCTTAATGAACAGTAAATTTTATCTAGGTTATAAAAAAAGTGAGGTTAAGTTGAGAAAAGCTGTTGATGGGGTAAATTTAGTCCATCGCAGTCGGTTTAGATCCTTTGGTATATATTAGGCTAATCTGCGCATGTTTTTTTTTTTTTTTTTGAAGTTCAATTGACATGTTTTTTTACGGTATTTAGTCTTAATGAATGGATAGTAATAGGGAGGGGAAACAGGGAAATGACTTTGATTATTACATTTGATTTGCGGTATTCATAAATATGTTCCGGATCAATAAACAACGTCATTACCGACTCTGTGATACACCAGACTCAAGTAGTATGACCGGATTAGGACACAGGCAATAATTAGCCAGTCCTAATACACGAAATCTCCCCATTTATCCAAAAATCTTGACAGTTTAGTGAAACGATAATTAGTTATAAATACGAGTCGTAGTCCATAGCTAAAAATCATCTTCAGTATCTTCAGTATTTGATCTATTCTTTAGATCACATCTTCAGTAAGACGTTGCTATTAGGATAGTTTTTTTTATTATAAACATTTTTATTTTATTTATTCCCTGGTAAAGATACTTAGCGTCGTCGTTGGCGAAGTGTGAATAAGATTGATACTTGCTAATCAATTCTTTTGCATCAGGATTATTGTTTAATTTAACGTTAGTGTAGAGAGATAATTTCCCAGCTTCGAGATTAATCCCATCGAAGAAATCGACGTAATACTCAAGGTTAAGCAATAATTCAGGAACAGCGTATACAAGACCGATAATATACAGTCGTGAGTATAAACCCTAGTTAATTGTCGTTAGTATTTGGTTTGAAGTAGGATGAGCAAAGCTTCCGTCGGAAAAAAGATTAAATCCCAAGGCTAGTTGCTCCCAGGTGTAAGCTAGCTCGACATTACACACGGTATAATAGCAATAAACATACAGTGGTTGTTGTATGTCCGTTTGGAATTTATGTCCATTTGGAATGGACACAAATTCCCATCTGACATATGTCCATTCCGAATGGACATAAATTCCAAATGGACATACAACACATGTTATATGTTCTCGATTTCTTTTACGATTTTACGAAATAGCAACTTTTTATTCTCTTTTTCGATACAATTTATTATTTGATTTGCGTTTATTAAACTTCAACAAAAACTTCATCGATAATAAGAACCCATCTTTATCTTCATATTTAATATATTTAAAACAATAGCTTTCATAATGATTAAAACTCCATTTTCTAAAAACCAACAATAATTCATTTTTTAATAATTTCGTTGTAGATAAACCTGTAACTTACTCCAGTTCGATATTGGACATTGATTATCTTATACGAGAATTAACGCTGCAACAAACATCCTTAGTTGCATCTCAAAATATTACTTATTTTACGATATAGAAAT